CTCCGTCCAGAGCGATCGCATGCTGCATTGCGGGCGGCGACGAGTACAGACATTTCCGCACGGTTTGTTCGCGACACTGTGTTTTGCGTCTGGCCCTGTCCAACTATTCTAATCGATCTAAGATTCATGGAAATTGCTGGGCTGGGTAAATATTCTCTACAAAATCGAGCAAGTAAGTACAGTTTATAGTCAAACGATTAAAGGTTTCTATGCTGTTTCATTTTATTGATTCTTGTTTGTGTCTCGCCAATCTGTTCTCATATCTAGTGGTAGGATGAATTGATAAACAAATAACCACATGGCAATCTCTCTCCGCCTTCACCTGGCTAGACGATTGACAGGTTCCTGTCAGTCCCTATCTACTCGAGGCCTCATTAAGGGTTCTATGTTCCCTGCCCAGGGGTCGCCCGGTACTGCCGCCTCGCTGATATACGTACCCTGGTACGGTCGGGGTATTACCGGTAACGTGACCCTAGGCTTCACTTATTCTGAAATATGGGGTAGGGTTAGGATTAGGGTTAGGGTATAGAATTAGGGGTTGGAGTTACGGATATTAGGGTTAGGATTCGAGTGGTTCGCGGTTGGCGCGCTTCGAGTGTATGTTAGGCACTGTACGCGTATCTCTCCTTCTAGATCTCGTTAGTGGCAGTCAGACGCATGGTGTACGGTGTTCGTCGTGAGCATTCTATGCTAAGTGTGTTTAGTCCGCGGAGTTTCGCTGTCCAGACTCACAGTCTCTCTGTGCGTTGAACCCACCGATATCGCTGTGTTTCACTTGTCTAGTTAAAAACATTTGTCTCTGTTCAGGTAAGACCAAGCTGGGTCACGCCGAAATCACACAAGAAGGACTGAGCGAATTTGTCACTTTGAGTTCGCTCAGCACGGCGACTGGATGTTACACAATTTACTAGTACTCATGGCCGTATAGCGCGACGTGTCTGTGGCTTCTATATCCAGAGATGGCAGTCGATCGGCGTCGGGCGAGCATCATCTAGAGCTACGGACTCTCGCATAATTAGATAAGTACCCAGGCCTACAGGCGAGGTGTAGCGTCATCGGGCAGGTGTTACCTCTCGTGCTTCGAGGGGAATTAGAGCCCCTCGGCCTACAGCCGTAGCTGGCATTATGAGTTTCAGAGATAATGAGACTAGAGGTTGACAAATTACAGAACCATATGTCTTTTATTCATATATAAGATTTAAGATTATTTCAATTATAATTATGTGTTTTTGTAGGTTATATTGGTCTAGGATTAGGTTAGGGTTCAGGCGTTAGAAGTTTAGGTTAGTCTAGGGTTAGGCACATTGGTTTTATTGGGACCCATGTTTCTATTTGGCCCGAATTCTTACTCTATATGCTGCGCGTTCAGCCGTGAAGATGGCGGCCGAACGTTGTAGTTGGATCGCGTGTGTCCTGCTTTTAAATGAAAGAGCATACAAAAGTATGCAAGTGTACCAATTTTCATACTTTTTTCACAATTTGAACGATTTTTTTCTAATCTACTGTACTAATATGGGCTATGTATGAGTCACGAGTGTATGTTCACATCGAACAATATAGTAAAATAAGAATTATAATGCAGAAATTTAACCATAAAAAGTAAACAGAATTACTTATATATATATTTTTTTTTTTACATTTACGGTGACGTAATCACTTTAAGATTTTCTAATATTAAAACTATATATAGCCTATAGGCCATGAACGTGAATGTATATGACTCGTGAATGTACGATCTGTGCTTTAACTTTACGTCAACCAACCACTGCTTCGTTGTAATGGCCAAATAATGAGCGTCTCCGATGCAAGATGATACCAATTCATCATGTTCTGCTAGCATCTATGACAAACACGACATACGCATATATACGCTCTCCTATGACACTATATTTGTCATAGAAAGATTCTTCCTATGACAACTATTGGCGATTCAACTTCGTTTCGCTTTGCAGCTGAAATGCACTGCTTGCGTTCATAATAGCGCTCTTAAACTCCTATGATGCGCACAACACATACAACAATATTTGTCATAGGAAGAATATTCCTATGACAAATAGTGTCATAGGATATATAGCGTATATGCGTATGTCGTATTTGTCAAAGACGCTAGCAGAACAAAAGGATATCAATTATATAATCGTGAATTAAGCCGCCGACCCACTGAGAAAGGCTTTTCTTTCGTAATAACGACGATAAAGGAACCTTTTACGAGTTCGAAATTAAAATCACGCGTAGGATATAAGACCAGGAAGAGGAAATAAATTAGTTCCATTGACCTTTAAATATATTTTAAGTCATTCGCATGTTGCTATAAACATTTTTATATAGTTGTATCGCACTGTTTTGTACTCTATCACTCAGAAAAACATCATTATAACTACTCAACACTTACCTTAATCACTTTACTAGTACAGAATATCAGAATATGCTGAAGTTTTTTTTTGTATATATTTTTTTCTTCATGTTGCTTAGCACTGTTTTGTACTGTATCACTCAGAAATTTTATCATTTTAACTACTCAACACTATTGCATTTATCAGATTTTTTCTCCATGAAAAAAAAACTGTCGTCAGTACATGTAGGCCTATTTGCATCTGAATTACATGCAATAACGATTTAATAATAGTTTCCTAAAAAATATATGGCGAGAGCGACAGCAGCAGTTAGATTTAACAACGTCTATTTGAAGTAACTTCACCGTGTGTGCACCACACAATAGAACTTATTGTATAGTATATATCTGTACACCGCGAGCACATCTTTTTCGCCTAACATGAGCTGATGTTATTGGTTTTACAATATTGAGGGAACAGTAAACGGTTAGTGTCGAGCAGCCAGGGGCGCAAATCCAGGGGGGGCAGGGGGACATGTCCCCCCACGAATTTTCAGAGGGGGACATCATATCAAATGTCCCCCCCCCACGAATTTTCAGAGGGGGGACATCATATCAAATGCCTGATCACGCAGCAACTTGAGAAATTGCTTGATAAATTTAGTACCGGTTTCTTTTTTACACGTTCTTTCTATAAAAATTCTTAGCGAAAACCTATCAGAAACGCAACAAGTAAACATACCTCCCAAAACACACAGAAGTTAGCGACTATCACTCACACATATAACACAACAACCCGAGAAACACAACACCACAAACCACGATTAAGCGGAACTCGACTATTATTCACGAAAGAGACACTGAAACGGAGCATCGTCGTTTTAATTTTAAATGACTATTTCTATTGCAAAATTAGAAATACCACCCAAAACTAAACACACCAAATGACTATCAACAATATGAACACCAAACCAAACACAAATAACGAGTGACAATTATGTGATAGCCTCAACACAATATTGGTTTTCTTCTTTTTGTTCGGTGAGTTTTATGGGCATTGGACACACACTTTTGGTATTATCACAAACAAATCATGTGTTGTTGGGGGTGTGTGGTGTCTGTGTGTGTGTGTCTGCAGGCGTGACGGTGGTTCCAGGGCAGACCCCTCCCGATGC